GGGAACTGTGCAGATACTGTACACAGGTAAGCTGAGGTCAAGGGATCGACCCCTGGGCTCTGCATCGGCTACTGCCAAAGGTGAAAACTGTTTCAGTTCCCCCTCGGTGGTACGCTTCAGCGGGGTTGAAAAACTATGAGAGCTCTGTGAGAGTTCTTTTTTTTTGAGCACCCACCCTTTGTTTGTAACGTACATCAAAAGACTGCATTTGAACTCTTGACCTCTTGGCCAGTAGTTACGACTTTTGTGCGTATCACATTCAGCCATATGTTATGTTCTCGTTTTTCGTGAAATCTTATTCATTCCTTTTGTCGTTTTTTGTTTTTGTTTCTTTTTCTTGTAGTAAACTTCCGTCGTGGAAGTGAATTCTATGAGAGTCCTATGCGAGTTTTTTTTCCGATCACCCACCCTTTTTGTTCGTACAGGCAGCTCTTCTCCATGTGAACTCTTGACCTCTTCGCCAGTACTTTGACTCTTTCTCCTCCATTGGAACACTCGACCTCTTGGCCAGTAGTTGAACTCTTTCCGGGCATATCACATTCAGCCGCCTAGTGTCATGTTCGGTTCGGTTCCTTGTGCTTAGAGATACACGGTATTGTTCGCAGTGCAAGTGCAGCTGAACCATCTTCCCTGGAATAGAACGCATGGCTACCGTCTTCCCCCGAACACAACGCACCCATCTTTTGGCTGTAAGTGGCCGAAAATATGGCTTGTATACGTTCATTTTTAGGGTGCGTTATGTTCCGGCGAAGACTGTAGGCTACCAGCGGGGCCGACCGGGTCACCCTGTTTTCCCGGGCAGCCCGGCCGTGCAAGGACCAGGGAAGGTCCCAGCCAAAAAAAAAAAATAAACAAACTCCAAAAAATCCGAAAAAAAAACTATGTTATGCAGAAAAATAAACTGAACAGCTTTTGCCTCAGGGTCACATCGAAATCTTTTACCAAATTTAAAATAAAAATTCAAATTAAAAAATTCAAAAAAAAAAATGTGTATTTTTCTTTTTATTTTTCTTTTTGGCCCGGCCGGGCAAGTGGACCCGGGCCACTCTGGTAGCCTAGACCCATGGTCATTACAGCTGGGATTTGCACAAGTGGTTAGCAGGGGCCTCCACTTTTCAGCGGCAGGGTAAAACCCCCAACACTAAAAAGTGCATTTTTTGTTTTTTTTGTTTTTTTTGTTTTTGCCCTGTTTTATTTTTGGTGGTCAAGATCTGCGTGTGGCAAGTTTGGCGTTGGGCATTTTTCTGTCTAGATGCAGAAGTATTATATCTGTCCTTGGGCCAACTTTCTGTCTCGATCCAGTGGTAATAACCGTGCATTCTATTCTGCTGAAGACGGTAGGGATCCTCCTTTAAATGACCTTTCGCGGATTCTTGCCGCTATTTCTTTCATACATCTCTTTCCTTTCTCCTAGTTTTTTTTTTCTTTTTAAATTAATTTCTTATTATTAAATAAAGGGTGAGCAGTGTCGAGGTATCGTTGTCGAGCTGACTGGCCCACCCAGGGCACTTTGGGAGATCTCATTCATCTGGTTCCATCCAGATTTGAACTCTGGTCAGTGTTTCAGCTGTTCATGTTTTTATTTACCAACTGAGTTAGGCCCGTTGGTTCTCGCAGAGTTCTATCACCGTCGGATGTATCTTTTTTTTTTTAATCAAGTTTTATGATAAGTAAAAACCTTCCCATGCTTGGGAAAAAGAAGAACAGGCTTCAACCGCTGAGGAAATTTTGATTTCTGACACGTTTACCGTCTTCTTGCCTTTGCCGTTCTCGCCAATTTAGTGTAATTCTTGCAGCGTGTCATCTCGGCAGCAAACGAAGAAGAGGAACAATCTTTTTGTGAATGATAAGTGAAAACCACTGCCAAAAAAATGGTTGTAAAAGGGCCAGACCTCGAACTCTCAACCTCGATCATGAAAGATCTTTTCCTTTGTTGTTATAGATCGAGCAATGTGAGTTACCCATCCCACCAGCATTGCAGCCTCATGGCGCTTGGCTTACGGATTCGGATGGGATCAGGTGCATTAGGCATGGTATCAGCGCACCTTTGAACCATTTTCTTGATCTATACGTATCATCCTTGTGCAAGGACCGTGCTAGTCCTCTCTTTCTCTGTATCGTTCCAATTTCAATGGATAGTCACAAAAAGGACGCGATCGTGAAAAGCTCGATTTCAACCGCTGAGGACATTTTTATTTCTGACACGTTTTCCGTCTCCTTGCCTCGATGTTCTCACCGACTTATTGCAATTCTTGCAGCATCTCATCTCCGCAGCAAACGCCGAAAGTGGGGCAATCATTCACAAATGCAAGGGCCGCGCGTGGAAGTGACCTTCAGAAATCTTTCCAGGTGAGTCTCTGTCCTTTACGCCTACGTAGCATCTGGTCCGTCCATCCAATTTCATGTGACTGTGTATACATCTGATTCCATTAGGAATCGAACTCATGATGTGTTTCTTTCCCCCTTTTTTTTGTGTGTTTAGGGTTAACACCATGGTTACGATCCGGACGTCCGGACCACAGTGGAGACGGTCTGGGTCTGGTGTCCGCTCCAGAGTGTCCTGATCCATCATCCCCCACCCCCATCCCCCAAAAAAATCCGATGACAGTTTCAGTGCAAAATTCAGCGCGGAAAAAAACACCCCCGGTTAACCATGGGCAGGCGTGTAGGGGGTAAAAAGACGGACCCACCCCAGCCCCACAGCACAGAACGCAATTCTGCACACATATATAACTGTTGAAGGTGTTAGGTGTGTGTCCATATCACGAGCTCATGGACACATCACGAGCTGAAATCCTGACGTGCTGTGGCATACTGCATAGCCACACGGGCCCGGTAGGACCCGTCCTGGACATTCAGCCTAAAAGCCTAAAACTTAGGGGCAGCACGTCATACTGCGTAGCCATACGGGCCCGGTAGGACCCGTCCTGGACATTCAGCCTAAAAGCCTAAAACTTAGGATCTACAGGCCCCGGTCGTTTCAGCCTGAAAACTGAAAAACGAGGGCCTGCAGGCCCTACTCCGTTTCAGCCT